GCCAAAAATATCAATGAGTGTAAAATTGTATAATCAATTCACAAATATACTCCAAATAATGATAGCAAAAATAGTTTGAGCTTATCCAATGTTCGATCGGTGTGCGTGCAACGTCACTTTAAATCATTATCTAAACTAGGAAAAAATTGTCAAGATAGAAAAATCTTTAAATTGGCTCCAACCCAACATTTTGTGGTTAAATATTTCATTTCCTGCTCGTGAGATTCGCACTCCTCAAATAGCTATTCATTTTCTTTCCCTAGGGTATAAATCTAAAGGTTGTTCTCAGTCACTCATTTCTTTTTCCGCTCTAGTTTGGTTGGGTCTAACCGGCACTCTCAACATCTAGTCATGTGATGATTCTCCACTAATGAGTGCTTCACATTCAAGCTTATATTAAGTAATTCAAACTCACTAGTTATCTAAACCCAAATATCAATCACAATTGCACAACAAAAACATTTTTTTAAAGTAAAATTTCATGTTTTACCTCACTCCTTTAAGCTTTCTTCTTGACCCTTGTAACGAATTTTAGGTCGATAACTCTTCAGTTGTTTAGGCCAAAGGGTAACCGGTTTCAAGATACCCCTACGGACTTAATAACTTGAGTAAAAAAGGCTACGAAGTGGGCCCAAGATTCAATAATTGCAATTTCTTTTTTATAGCACAACAAAAATGGGGCTTAGATTTTTAGCATATGGTCATTACCTAGCTTATACTTGGCAAAAGACACTCCACACAAATATTTTCAACATGCATAAAATCACACTTCTAAATAATATCCTTCACCGGCTCGACCACCACCAAACTCACAATTCGGTTATGTGAAAGAGAAATAGATATAGGTTGATATAAATTTTCAAGCAACTCACAACCTAGTTTAACCAAGTCAAAAATATCTCCATCAATCAAAAATTTTCCATATATAGATAACAATTAATCATGACTATTGTGCTCAAAAGTAATTCAAAATCTTAAAATGGTAAGCAATTGAAAAAAAGAGAGGCAAAAATAGCATATTTGGTCATGCATAGCTCATGAATCAATAACAATTTCAAACATCAAACAATTCTAAACTGGCAAGGCTATCTAACTTATCAACACAATATCACCAATTCAAACACAATCACCCCAAGCTTAAATCACACATTGTTCTCAATGTGTAAAGAACAATGTAAAGAGGAGAGGGGATAACGAAACTTTCCCTATTGTATATTTGTGAAAAGGTACCAATGCTTGACTTGGACTTATGATCTTTCAATGACTTTGGCAAGTGACCTTCTTGTACACAATTTACCCCCAAACTTGTGAGGAACCATGATATGTTGGACTTCAAAAATTTCCTACAAAAAATGATAGCTAATTAGATAAAAGCATAAAGATGCATAAAAGTAAATAAAAAGCTTAAAAATTAAAAAGTTGGGTTGCCTACCAACAATTGAATCACGAGCACCTAAAGAAGGCTTTGGATGCTTTGTCCATTTTCCTTTGTTTGGCTTTGATCCACTCTTCATTTGATCTCCAAACCTCGACATTGCCATTTTCAATGTAGTAGGACTTTCCCATTCCATCCGATACAAACTCAACATGTAGATTTCATTAATCTCCTCATCAGATTTAACCAATAAATCGACTCCTATGCAATCAATGAAGTCGAGAATGTACGTTGATTTCATCTTCATTCCTATACCCTCAATCAGTTCATTTGTGATTAAATTATCAGTCACTTTAAGCCCCTCTGCAATCGTTGATATTTTTTCGGATTGAATGATTGATCCACAATTTAAATCCACGGGCAGTGAGAAGTCGGTCTCATTGACTCCTTCAAGTGGATTGTATCCCCATTGTTGAAATTCTTCCCAACACATGTAATCTCTCATAAGCATATCATTTTCATCCAATTTGGCAAGCTCTTTGAAATACTTTGCAATTACATTTTTGTTCACTAGGGGAGGACCATCTCCTATGAGTTTAATGTCCCCATCCAAATTGTAAGGTATCGAATCTCCTACGAGCATGTACCCTTCATCATTTTTGTTAATGGCTTATTTTTGACACCTCGAATATTTCCTAAACCACAAAAGTTTTGGCGTGTGTAAACTAGTGTACGAAAACAAACAATTCCCACTACAATGCACCGCGTAACAATTTTCGCAACTTGGATATCCTCCAAGCGTATCTTGACTATCCAAATAGAGATTTGTCATTGAAACAATTTTGTTACTTTACCAAAGTTAGAATCCTACAAATATTTGAAAAGTACAGGGAGAGAATACAAGCACAAAGTAGATTAACATTTTGGAGGTTAGCCAAAATATACAAAAATAAAAGGAAGTAAAAACAAATAAAAAGAAATTGTTAAAATTAAAATTAACTAAAGTTGTAATCAAAGTAAGAATATTCTCCGGCAACGGCGCTAAAAACTTATTCGCTAAAATCCTACACCGCAAGTGCACGGGTCGCGTTCAAGTAATAAAGTGGACCTTTTAAGTCCGGATTGTCGATCCTTCGAAAAATGTTTACTTTAGATTACACAACTCTAGTTAATTTAATTTTAACAATAAAAGAAACAAACATAAAATAAATATTTAGATTTTGGAAAAACAACTAAAGATCTAGAAAATATAAATATAAGTATCTTGGAAATTTTGGGAAGTAAACGTGGTTGAGATTCATGATTTCATTTAACCGTCGCCTAATTAATTTCTTCACAAATCGATTAACAAATTACTCATTTCTTATGTTAGACCCGATCTTCCAATTTTAGTTAATTACCTCTCTTGAACGAAATTAACTCTAATTGATTGGTTTAATCTACTATATCTCTATGTCGATTAAAATCAAACAACTATATTAAATATTTGTGAAAATAGCTCAATGGGTCATCTAGGGCTAGGAGTATATCTATGTCTCCTATACAAACCTAGGGTTTCTACTATTTGATCTAAAATGCATAATATCCTCTCGAACGATGTACAATTCACTAAACATAATCATTCATTGACCACATAAATGAAAATGCAATAGATATCATAGTAGAAACACATTAAAAGACATAACTTAACATTAAATGTCAAATATTAAAATCAATTAAAAGTTAAGTTAAATTACTACCATAAATCCCAACTCAAGTAATTAGCCCATATTATATATATGAATGAAAGGAGAATATTTTATACAATGCATTGCAAGTTTGACAAAATAATGGAGATAATATAAGATTATAGATAAAACCCCCTTTTGTTGGATTTTTGGAGATGGAATTGCTTGCTTTTGATTTCTCAAAAGCCTTGCCAAATCATTTGATTGAATCTCCTTGTATTCTATGATTTGCTCCAAAAAGTACTAAGGATTAGAAAAGAAAAAGAAGAAGAAAAGGAAGAAGAAAGAAAGCTAAGAAGAGAGGTTAGGGTTTTCTTTTAAGGTAAAAAATGATGAGAAAAATGGTTGAATTTGCCTTTTGAAAGGCCCAAAAATCGTGTTTGGTTAATTGCAAAATGGTCCCCAATTAAAAAAAATCTAGCCAAACAAGTCTTGGTACACAGTCGTTGTGCCACGACGCCTTGAAGTAGCGCTGCAGTGCCATAGTGGACAGAGCCATGGAGTCACGGCGTTGCTACAGTGGCGCTGCGACGCCGCTACAGTGTCACCTCCCATTTTTCTTATTTGCAGCTCAGGTTCTCCTCATATTTGCATACTAGATCCCTCAACTTTGAACTTGTACAAATTTGGTCCTGGAATTTTGACTTTTATTTCAATTTTGCCCTCCAAAAATTGCAACTCCAACTCCTTGAACTTTCGGCCCTTTTACATTTTGGTCCCCAACTTCACAAATTTGCATACTTTTAGTCATTTTTCCCTCATTTTGCTTTGTGCTCTTTCCTTGGGTGATTTTTGACATACAAAAGCAAATATCATATAATTGTGAATAGAATTCCATTCATTTAATCGATAAAAAAACATATTTAGATATTAAATAAGTGTGTAAAAATACACTTATTACAGATTATCCAAATTCTTTTATTTTTTGGTAATCTTTTTCTATGTTTTTATTGATAGTTATGCTGTTTTGTTCTAATAATTATTGGGCTCCTTTAAAATAATTCGCTAATGTTTGGATGTAGTAAAAGCATTGAATGATTTACAAAAAGTCACAGTAGCTAAGTATAATTGTATTTTATTGTTTTATTAGTTATTTTATATTATTTAATTATAATAAATGAATTCATGTACTATATTTTTATATTTTTGAAGAGAATGAATCGTGTATTACAATTATAAATGGATGCCATTAGTATTGACTAAGAGTTTAAAATATTTATATCATGTTGTTGCATTATAATAATTATAATTATATAATTTTGATTTGTAATTTTTTTAATAATATAATTTTTTTTAATGTGAAATTTTAGACTAATATTTGCAATTTAACTTGTTTGATATATTGATTTTTTCATTGTTAAACCGTGATTTTAAACCGAATCAAATCGGAAAAAAATGGTTTGGATTGATTTTGTTTAGAAATTAAAGTAGTTTGGTTTAGTTTGGAAACCGCTTTAAATGGTTTGATTTGAAAATTTATCTCAAACCGTCTAAACCGAATCTTGCTCACCCCTATATGCGACTAACTAATTTGAAAACTTGCAACCGATAAATAAATTATGACCTATAATATTTTTGATTTGTGACCAATGAAATAATTTGTGCTCTATTAATTTGATAAAATGCGACATTGTGACCTATAAATACACATCTGTGATTATGAATTGTATACTTGTGACCTTAATTCTTTTGTTAATAAAATATTTTTAATTAATTAATTAATACTTGATTTTTGAATTTTAAAACTTAAAAATTGAATTGTCCAAACGTAATACATTTGTGATTTTTTTCCCAACTTAAAATCGGGTAAGCCCATATTAAGAAGCCCATCTATGTTCGTACAAGCCCAAATTGAAAAACAACCCACGAACCGATCCCTATATAACACCACAGCTGCAAAACCCTAGATTTTCTTCATTGTCGTCATTTGATACATACCAGCGGCAGCCTCTTGAGAGTGTTAAGAGTGAGAGAAAATGGTTTCTGGGTCGGGCATTTGTGCGAAGAGAGTGGTTGTAGATGCCAGGCACCACATGCTTGGCAGACTGGCCTCCATCTTAGCCAAGGAGCTCTTGAATGGGCAGAAAGTGGTTGTGGTCAGATGCGAAGAAATTTGCCTCTCCGGTGGACTCGTCCGACAGAAGATGAAGTATCTACGCTTTCTCCGTAAGCGCATGAACACCAAGCCATCTCATGGCCCCATCCACTTCCGGGCTCCTTCCAAGATTCTCTGGCGCACCATCCGTGGGTATGAAATTCAAATATTTTTTTTCCTACGAAATTATTTGATGAAAAATATGTATTGTATAGGCGAATAATGTGTATATATAATAAAATACTCCTTTCCTGGTATGATTATATGAGTTCAGTTATTGCCTTTACATTTATATTTCATTTATTGAGGTGTACTGCTTATCTGTTGTTTTTGCTTATAAAGACTTGTGGACACCTTGTAAGAATGTAGATAAAGCTAGTAATACTTAGGTGTGCAGTGGAGTTTTTCTTATATGCCAAGTTTGTGTATTGGGTCATGATGGATTCGTGAAGATGGAGACTGATTCCTGTAAGCATTGATAGAAGCTTACTTTTAATTTTTGGTGTTTTTTGTATGTCAAGCCTTTATGGATGAAATCGTACCTTTTTTGTGTGTCTGTATAAACACTATGTACGCAGGGCTCTTAGCTTGATGTTTGTAGTTGATGCTCTTTTGGTGTTCTATTTGTAGTGTATACATTGTCCTTTCTGTGAAGTATTAGAATTGAACATTCTATTTGTAATTTCGGTTTAATTGATTCTACTCAATCTTTACTTTTGGTTTATGCTATAGAACTGTTTAAATGAGCATTTTTCTTTCCATGCCGAGCTAGTATGTTTTACAGTTGTAATTTCAGAGATGTATTTCTATACGTTTTGTTTTATATTGGAATGGCTATTCTTCCTCTCCTGGAAAAGGGTTACATTACTGAATGAACATATTGTTGGATGTTTGCTGTTTATTTTACTATGGTTGGTGAAGATATTGCCGTAGTTGGAATAGCACAATTGCTGATATCTTCTGCCTAAATGTATTTGTAGTTGCTGATATCTTCTGCCTAAATGGATTTGTAGTTTGTGTAGATTGAAAATATACATTCTTTTCTTGTACCTGAGAACCGAAGATGAAACTATAGATATATTTTTTTACTGTGTATTTGTAACTTTACTTTCTATTGATATGGCCAGTGTTGTCTAATGTTATGTTCTTATTTGCTCCAGGATGATCCCCCACAAGACTAAGCGAGGAGCAGCTGCTCTTGCCCGTTTGAAGGTTTATGAGGGTATCCCACCCCCATATGACAAGATCAAGAGGATGGTTATTCCTGATGCCCTCAAGTGAGTTTTACACTTGGAACTTTATTGTTCTGTTTGTTTTGTCCACATCGTTTTAACTTGTTGGCTTTTTGATAATTAGGGTTCTGAGGCTCCAAGCTGGACACAAATATTGTTTGTTGGGTAGACTCTCATCGGAGGTTGGATGGAATCACTATGATACCATCAGGGTGAGTTTAGATGTTATTCTTCTTTGGTTTAGCTCATGTCTCCTAATCTCCCTTCTTTTGATTTTGCCTACATTTTTAAAGTTATTTGTAGTCTCTCCTTTATTTTGTGAATCATTTTTCCTAGAGAAAGTTAATTTAGTGGGCTCTTCTTGTTCGATATCTCATTGTAAATGTTTTTGTTTCAGCTTCTACAATATTATGGATTTCACCAATGTTACAGAATATTTCATAAATTCTCGTCATATGTTTACTTCTTGAATGCTTAGTCTCACACAATATGTTAAGTGACTGGATCCAGACCATTTCTCCTTTGTTGCTTGTGGCTTTATGACAAACCTTCAACTCAGATTTTCTAGCATTATGATGAGATTTTCTTATGATTAACATAATTAGTCATTTTATCTAAATTACAAAATTTGTGTTCTTTAGGAGCTTGAGGAGAAGAGGAAGGAGAGGGCTCAGGCTACTTATGAGAGGAAGAAGCAGTTGACAAAATTGAGGATCAAAGCAGAGAAGGTGGCCGAGGAGAAACTTGGTGGTCAACTAGATATTATTACTCCAATCAAGTACTGAAATAGGAAGTTTGTTGTTTCGAATGACAATTTTCTGTCCTGTTGATTTTGTCTCCGTTAGTTGTTACATCTATTTCCGAGCAATTTATTTTTCACCTCCCAATCCTAGGGAATTGTATGCGACTTCATTCTTGAAATTAAACACTTGTCCATGTTATATTTGGTGTTTCAGCATTGTCTTTTCCTCGGTAAAACTTTGCATGGTTGTTCAAAATTCAAATCTTTGTTAGCCTTTTAGTACACGACCTGTCAAGGCGAGAACTCCTCGAATTTTGATTTTCCACATAATTCTTTACTGCTGTTTGCATATCTATGATTCTGATAAATAGGGTGCTCTATATTTAGTCCATCATCAGTGCCATAAGCAGCTGATTGTGGACTCTGTGACTTCTCAAGATGCTCCATAGTTGATTGTGACTCAATAATTGTAGTAAAATTTGATGTCAGATCAATTAAAACTGTTTTTGCTTCTCTACTATTTATTTATAATTTAAACTGTTACTATTCGGGTCTTGTAAAAATTGGCGTCGGAAATGTTATGCAAGTAATAGAAATAAAAATTGTGTTTTCATCTCTCAAATTTGAACATCATGCCATACAGAATCATGAAGTTGCTTTCATGATTTTTGCTTCAGGAAAAAACTAGTGTTTTGGCATGAAAACAATGGCATGTTGCATGTGGATGAAGAAAGGCTAGGCAATAAAAAGCCAAAAATGGAACATGGCAAACTTCGTTGTACTTCATAATTTCATCCTAAATTCTGAAATACTTCCATTAAAGTGAGGGATCTTGCTCTTCTTTTTTCCTCTTTAGAGGCACACTTAAATCCACTTTCAACTCAATAATTGGTCATTTGTTTACATTTTTCTCTATTCTTAAAGATAATCCCTCTTCAATGAAGAAAGAAAATAACGTTTTCCTTGTACCTCTATTTGGAATACTCGACGGCGCCATCTTTTCTTTTAATGTCATCCATTTGAAACTCGTGAAGAGCGATGATACTCGAGTGACATTAAACATGGTAGAGCTTAATTTAGTTTTCACTTTATCTTTCTTGAAGAGAGAACAAACAAATTTATTTTAGAAGATATGTTTGATACGTTAGACTGAACATAATTAATGAATTATAGTTATATTACAAGACTTATTAGATATTTCGTTTAGATTTATTCAGTCTAACGTATCTAATATGTTATTAAAGTACATTATCGAGTCGTGATCGAGACATCATAACTTAAAAGTATTCATCTTCTTTGTAACCTTATCTATTCGGTTGGCTTCTCCCTCGCTTTTCCTCTTCAATTTGCTTTTCATTTGTAGCCTTCTCTGCTTTCGACCGAAATTCATCAAATCCCTACATTTCCCTCGTCATAAATTTAATTAAATGCTACCTTTATTAACTTTCTCCACTAATAATGCCTTTTATTTTTAATTTAATCAAACAAAAATTCATAAACACTTATATATTTATTCTTCTCTAAATTAAAATACATTAATTAATTTTCTGCATTTTTCTCATAGAATTACGCATTCTAAATTGATAGAGTATCCAATTAATCCTATCTAAAATCTGTCCTTAATTTCATTTCCTTCTCTTTTTATGGTATATTCTTAAACGTAATATTTACACTTAAAAAATGCTCTCTTGATTGCTCGCTCTATGTACAGCACAAATAGTGTTGCATAATAAACCTCCTATCAAATCCTTGTTTTCCACAAATATAAATCCTTGAGGTTTATATGTTTATTCATACTGCGGTTTCTCAAAATTTTGTTCATTACTTCAGAAGTCACACTTCCATTCATTACTCTTTTGACTTTACCAGTATCCATCAATATTAAAGTTTGTGCAAGGTTGCAAAATCTTACGAATTTCCCACAAAAACTTCGATCTTCTTGATTAAAAATGTCGTCTTTCCAACGATTTTTACGGGCATTTCTTGTTCTGTTCATAGTTTTGAGTGGCACTGATGCCAAATTAAATAGATACCCTCGAGGAGAATCAGTGGTTTATCGAACAATCTATGTCGATCAGTCAGGTAAAGGTAATTTCCGAACAATCCAATCTGCCATTGATTCTGTACCTTCAAACAACAATAAGTGGGTTTGTATATACGTCAAAGCTGGCACATACAGGTAATGTAAACGTTTTCTCCTTTTATACAAGTGTTTGAAGTTTTATTTTTAATTTTTTTTTCATCCCGTTATGCAGAGAATCTGTGAAAATTCCTTATGACAAGCCATTCATCTTCCTCAAAGGAGAAGGAAAATGGAAAACTTTTGTAGTATGGGATAATCATGATTCAATTGCAACAAGTGCTACTTTCACTTCTGATGCAGATAACATAATCGTCAAAAGCATAACCTTCACGGTAAGAATTTTCCCAGTATCTTCAGTATAATGAACAAGATTTTAACTGATCTTACGTCTGTTGGATTTGTTTTGAGGTTGAGATTTCATGCAGAATTCTTACAACAGTCCCCCGGGGAGCTCCGGTAACCCGATGAGGACAGCGGTGGCAGCAAAGATATCCGGGGATAAATCGTCCTTTTATCGATGTGGATTTTTGGGATTGCAAGATACATTGTGGGATGTTCAAGGTAGACACTACTTCAAACTTTGTAGTATCCAGGGAGCCGTAGATTTCATCTTTGGTTCTGGCCAATCCATTTATGAGGTAAACAAAACGTCCGTATTTTGTACATTGTACTGAACAATATTGAACAAAATTCAAATATGAATTTGGGTTTTGAATTCTTTGCAGAGATGCACAATATCAGTTATCGCAGGCGTGTTAGATGGGCTCGCGGGATTCATAACCGCGCAATCAAGATCGAGCCCTTATGAGACAAATGGCTTCGTGTTTAAGGACTGTAAAATAATTGGGCATGGAAAGACGTTCTTGGGAAGAGCATGGAGAGATTATGCTCGTGTTGTATTTTATAACACCACAATGTCTGATGTTGTTGTTCCCGAAGGATGGAGTCCTTGGGTAGTTGCATCTGGACACGAGTAAGATTATCTGATTTCAAGTCTTGTCGTTACCTATTGTCAAAAAATCGTTAACTTGCATTCCTTGTTCGAACAAATTCAGGTACCAAATAACGTTCGCAGAGTACAAATGTCGAGGACCTGGAGCAAATACCGCAGGGCGCGTAAAATGGGCGAACAAGTTGAATGTGGACGAGTTGATTCGGTTAACGAGCACGTCTTTTATCGATGAAGAAGGTTGGATGAGTAGACAAGTTTTCAACATGATGGACTAATTTAGCAACCATTTAATTACTCTCGCATAGTTTTTCTTTACAGGACATGAACTCTAAGATGAAATTGCGTGTAAACTTGAATAATGTCAAAGTTTCAAAATCCCTTCTAATATCTAGTTGTTTCTTACTATCCCGGTTTTTTTCTCATTACATTAATTGCTTGGACAATGCTACATGTACTGAATTTTTTACTTACTACTCATAACAGGGGTGGGGACCATGGGCCGACTTTTTAAATTCACGTGAGGCCCGCCATACATTGTGAGA